GTAGAGATATTATATTAGGCATATTGTTATTATCTAAATTTATTAATTTATTATAATATTATTAATGTTCTTGAGCACATGTATAGGCCACATTTGGAGCCCATTTTGGTATTTAAGGGGATAGTATAGAATTTAATAATTAGAATTCAAGTTAGATTCTAGATTATATAGAAATGAAATAAATAAAATGAATTCAATTTTTGTAGTATAAGAATAGTATCGAGAAGAGAATTATAAGAGTTTTTTTAAGATTTTTGGAAGTTGGAAATTGATATTATATTGTATTATATAAAGAAAAAGATTGTGTTTTCATTCGAAGTAGAAGTTCAAGTTGTATACTGAATGGGCTATATTCTTTGTATAATTTCGAGTCTCGAGTCTTGGGTTAAAGATTCAATATTAGAGTAGGGTTGGAATCAGGAGGAATTAGGAGATTAGAAAACTAGAATTAGAGAATGAGTTGATATACTAGTAGGATTGTAAGTAATTATAATATTTGTAATAATAGATACGTTTTGGTAAAATAGATATAGATTGGCTTTTGCGAGATCTAGAGACAGCGAATGTGTTGCTAGTGGAATGAATGTTCTAAGTAGAATTTGATCAAGGATTAGTGAAGTTATTCGTTCGAATGATACTATGCTATACTATACTATGAGTATAAATGATTTAGAATAGAATAGAAGTCTAAGAAGATAGAATGATATGAAATACTATATAATTATCTGAAATATAGGAATTATCTGATTATTATAGATATTAAATATCTTATCAATTCTAGTGATTCTTTTTATATTCTTATAAAATGAGAATAAATATAATTTCTCTAAAAGATAGATAGAATGAGAATATTGATAAAATCAATAGAATAGTAGAGGATGAAAATTGGATATCTTAAATACTTAGACGTTGAAGGACAAGTGAATATAAACGTAAAATTATAGATATTGAAGTTGGTAGTGGAGTTAAACAATGAGAAATTCTATCGAGTAATAGTATATATAAATGAAGTCAATGTTTGATCAATTTAACGGGAAGAGACTTTGATTAATAAGAACAATAAGCAATCGAGATATAGTATAAGTATATAATAAACTACTAAACGATGATGTGAGTGAGGAGTTGTAGTTTAAGGGTAGTTGTACAAGTATACTCAGTAGTAAGATTATTCCTTAACCGAGTATTTTTCAGGAGGCGCTTTCAACTAACTATACAGACAAGTTAGTAACTCAAGGAATCAGAATGAGTGTGACCAAAAGGGTATAAATAGGACTCCGATTGTGTACTTAGAGGATTATATATACAGGTTTTGGAAGTCCTAATAGTTAGGCCCAAAAAAATGAAAAAAGAATTAAAGATAAGTATTATATAATACCTAGATCTAGAACTATAAAGTTAGTACTTTAAATTAAGAAAGGAAGATCTAAAAGACCGTCTTATCATATTACATAAGGTGTATGAGCTAGTGGACGGAAGAGAGCCATCTGTTCCGTCACAATGAGAACGAATTGTCCAATACTATCAATGCCAAACATAGACTGAAATGACATGTTCTGAATAATGATATTGAAACCAAAAAAATAAAGTAATCCGCTACGTGATCTCTTTTCCTCAATACAGTATAATCAAAAGGAATACCCAATCCAAACAATACTTCATTATGAACCCCAGAGAAGAAGAATTTTTCCCTCGAATCCATCCACCCTCTAGCAATCAATCTCTCATTCTTTCCCACCGGTCCACCTGCTCCTTAATACGTCATTCGAAGCATTACATCCCCGATTCCTATTACTAGCCCTTATATCTCGACTCGTTATACCGGTCCATTTTCCAATCTTCTATATATCAAATTATCAATCAGCTTATACTCCATATTCATGAATTCTAATTAATGTGTGTTTTATTCATAGGTAAAGTACCGGATAAACGCATTTCTTTGGCCTTTTCAAGTTGATGCACCTCAAACATGGTGTTCGTGTATCGCATCTCGCCCTCATTTCAGCACAGGGAAGACAGCCTGAGTGCTTGTCATTCAAAGCCGGAGTGACTGTGGTTAAAATGCATTTAGGAGCTGGGGGGGTGGGGGGGGGGTGGGAGGGGGGGGAGCTGGCGCGGCTATATCAGCCGATTTGGTTTCGTCTTCGGTTTCTGACACACTTGACCATGAGGGTGAGCGGAATATTCTATTGAAGTCGGGAGTGTAGTCCGTGTTGTCCTTGTATATCTGATTATGGTGTTCTATTTCGAGCATGGTCCTTCTCATGCTCGGTAGAGTCATCCTCATTTGTAAGAATCTGTCGAGTCTGGGGAACCTGGCAATCGTACGCTGGTCTGGTTTCGATGTTGTTGAATTTTGGGATATCTGGGGCATTGGGAGGTGTCGCGCAAGACTAACACCATCATGACCATGATTAGAACAAAGTAAGTATGGATTGATATCAGTCTTTTGAGAGCAGACTTGCGGCTTTGTTTCTGGGGGATGTTGATAGACAGTTGGATGCCAGCCCGAAAATCGTTCCGATATCTCTTGGCTTCGGAAAGTTGGAGTTTGGTATGAACCTGTGTGAGAATCCTCTTTCAGACCAAGTTTCAGACATTTGGTTTTATGCTCCTGATCATCCTCATCTTCGAGTTTGATTTTGCGTTTCTGTGGCCCAGTCTCTGACGTTTGTGATTCTTCATCATACCTAGGTATGGTGTCGCAAGGATCGATTATGGCCTTTTGTTCTCGCTTCGCTGGCTTTTGAGCTGCTCCGTCATCACTTACTGTCATATTGGAAACCGGAAAGCTGTACAGTATACGTTACGTTAAGGAAAATAGTATCATATGCTCCAGAATAAAAATAATGTGATAAGGATTTACTTCTTGTGGTTGACCTTTCACTGGTAACGTATTGGATTACTGAATATCTTGGTCGATGGATGTACTGAGTAAATATTCATGCCGTGCTGAAAATGAAAATGAGAATGAAGTGAGATATCGTTCTTTCTTCGTGACTTCCAGCAAATGTTTGGACATTCGCTCTTACCCATGAGGACTTTGCGTGAAGAGTTGAATGTTGTAAAGACGGCCAACATCAATATGCCCTTTTGATACAAGTTATACTGTACTTCAATGTTCAAGTCAACTTTGACAGAAAGAGCGTCTACACTTACTCGAGTATGATAATGAACATATCTCTTAAATGCGATCCCGCATCATAGTCAAGTTTTTGTTGCATCCAACCACATGAGAAAAGGTGTGGGAAAATCGAAGACGTCTTCTTGGGTCATCAGTCAGTTCATGTAATTGTAGCTTGGTAAAATTGTATGGATTGTTTTCGATTATCTGGCATTAAGACCAATGAATTAACATCCGATATTTCCTCTCTTGCCTCCCCTCTTAGTTCTGTCAATATGACCCTTAAGTACCCTTTTGGTCGCTGTCAAACTTCTCTTTTGCTTACTCTTAGCCTTACCCAAGGTCATCATGAAATTCTTATTTCTAGATTTCTCTTGATTCGTACTACTCTTGCCCTCGGAATCCTTTTTGGCCCTCCTCAATGCCTTAGTAGACTTGTGCTCGCTACGCTCTCCCTTTCCTTCTCTAGCCATTGCTATCTTCTCTTCCCTGGTGTTCTTTTGTAACCTCGAGAAACCTTCGATTTGATCAGCAGTCAAAGCATCATCTGCATGTCTTGCAGCTGCATCTTTCATTCGTTGAGATTGTGTCCTTCCACCCATTGCCTTATTCACGCTAGCTTCAAGGCGAAGCTCTTGAAGCTTTGTAAGATCGGCAGGAGTAAGGATTTTAGTGGTTGCATATGTCGAGATTTTCTGTTCAAGGACTTCGTCGGATTTTTCCTTTTCGGTGTCTTCTGCTGACTTTTCGGTGGCCTTGATGTCCAGCTTCGCTTTCTTAGCGGCAGGCTTGTCATCTTCGCTATCACTGATCTCAATTTCAGCATCACTCTCGACGTTGATCCAGTCACCAGCATCACTGCTGGCATCAGATTCCACATCCCAGGCATTCCAATCTTGCTCATCGTCCTCTTCTTCCTCATCTGTACCCAATTCTTCAGGTAAACCTTGTTCGACTCGTTTCCGTTTCCTCTCATCTTCCTTCCACTGCTCAAGCAATTCAATACCCTCAATACCACCAACTTCTTCCTCACCAAATCGTCTTTCCTTGATCGATCCAGCCTTGAGTCCCATACTTGCCGTCTTTCCTCTATCTCTCTTCTTCAACATATCAGCTCCAACTTCACGGTACAAGGATAACAGTCCCTTTGCAGCCATCATTGTTCCCTTGTCCTTGCTCTTCCTGTACATGATAAGATCTTGGAGAAGTGTATCGTTCATAGCTAAAGGTTGTCGCACGCAAATTTCTCGAATAGCGTTCAGTCCAGAAGCAGCGACCTCCGAGGCAGAGGCTTCAGAAACGAATTCGTTGGCAATTTTCTGCACCAAAGGTTCTAACGCATCAGGTGGAACAAGGTTATGTGTTGCTTGAGCTAGAGATGCCAAGAATGAGGTTACTGATGGTTGTCGTGGTGTGAGGTATTTGGTGAAGTAGGAATATAATGCGATTACTGTAAGCTTGTGCAAGCCAACAAGTCGTGAAACCAATGATAGGACAATCAGTTTTTGTTCAAGATTAAGCTTCGACTTCGAGTTTTGAAGATGCTTCGAGAATAAGGTTTCGGCAAAACCTTGGGGATCGTGTAATAGATGCAGCGCGGAAAAGTTCAATGGATGAGGTTGTTTGCTCTTCTTTTCCTTCCTTCGCACCTTGTCGACGGCCTTTTCCAATGACTTTGTCTTCTTCTTTGTCTTCTTGTTGACACCAGCTTGATGCTTTAGCTTACCAATATCAATTGCTTCATCATCGCTGCTTTCGTCCTCCATGTCCTCTCTTTCCTTGTCACCTCCCAGGAAGAACCGTACTCCACCTCCAACGACCTTCTCATTATCTGACAAACTGGCTTCCTTCATGATCTCGACAGTTTTCGCATCTGTCCATATCTGTCGCTTCCACAATTCTCTTGTAATCTTGACGGCCCAGATTCCTTTTGAAGATGTTCGATCGGATGTGAGCAAATTAAATAATGCTGTTTGCATTGTTCGATTGAGACGATGGTTGATAGCCTTGGAATTTGAAGTTCGGAGATCTGACAAAATCTTTTGGAATAGCAGTGTTCGCAGAGTTTTACTGGGTGTAGCTACCAGTATCGGAAACAGTGTATTGAGGAGGTCGGCTGAATCAATTACTTCTTTTCGTCGCAGTAACACCAAACTTCCCACAATCTTCTCGCGCAATTCGCTCTCAAGTTCAGCATGATGTAAAGTTAAGATCCTCTTAAGATCTTCTGGAAACTCTGCGGTATCTTCTGGGAAACAGTCTGAACAATGTGCGACGAAATCGATGAGGTCGTGAAATGAAACGATACCACCGGATGTCGCAGTGGAAGGAGAGGACATAAATATGTCTCTCTGAGATTGATATTGTCCATATTGATTCAAGAAATCCTCAGCATATGATCTAGAATACTTGTTAATATGATTATTTCACTTCACTGTTCCTAGTAGAAAGCTTTGAACTTACTTTGGATCTCTTCGAATCTTGTACTGTAAATTCGGACTAAAGAGGTCAGCAATGATCAGTACAAGAAATACCAATTGAGTATCTTACAGATCGGCATCGACCTTCTCCAAAGCACCAACTCTTTTTTTACCCATTATGCCAATGAAAATTTGTATGATTTTGGGTATTGGGTGATGGATTGATTATGGCTCTCTGACTTGGAATTCACATGGGTTGAGTTGAGATATTTTTTTTTCGTTATCTTAGCGCAACTCGGTTAAAAGCAGGTAGTGTGAGAGAATTGAATGATAAGGTGTGTGAATATGAATCACTTGGTATGACAAGTATGACTTTGCCAACTCACGCTTCTCCCAAGAATTTTTTATCATTTACCACAGCGACGACGTGGATTTACTCCATGATCAATTTCATCTAAATCTATCAAATAACATACAAATGTGGCTACCACACCTTATTTGGTTTCACTTAGCGGCCGCATCAACATGAGGCACGTAGCCTACAATGACTGCATCGAGTCCCAACATTATCATGAGCCTCAGCTCAGGTTAACAATCCGGAGACCTAAAGGGATGCGATATGGCCCGAAGACATCTGGTTGGTCTCCGATGGTAATTGCCAGGCTTAAATGGTACCACATAAGTTTGTGGTGGGGCTTCGGAGTTCATTCTTTGCTGCGAGTTATCTGCAAGTAATTGCAGGAAATTATATTGGTGATAATACGTCTAGTTCGTTCTAGAGGATCAGTTCTCTGTCAAGACATCATTTACTCATTATTGTATCCAACTTCTATATAGTTCCTGTCCAGTGGCAGGTGTCTATTGACTTCATAAGCCAATTCGAACCCCACCTCACCCCTCTCATTGTCTTTCTTTTCATCACCATCTTCATCCACATTCATTAGTGGTAATGAACTCACCCACGGATTGTCCATTCATCTCTGCCAAAATGTCTGATGCAGATCCATATATTCTTACAAAACTTTCTGAACATATATCACAACATCTCAACAAATCCCTCGATGAAGCCGTGGAGAACTTGTCATTGAAACTTCAGGATACAGCGAAGGATGCTATCACCGACACTCGAGAAATTAATGCCATCATCGACCAGGCGGTTAGGGAAGCCGTCGAAAAGGCCGTTGAGAAGTCCGTGGTAACGGAAGTTGAGCATGCTTCCACAGAATCAGACTTTAAATATCCACCCTCCCGGAATCTCAATTTTGTTGGCCGCTCTTCAACCCTAGCCAAACTACTCAGTCTACGGAAACCAGATCAAAAGAGTAGACTCGCAGTTGTCGGGCTCGGAGGCATAGGGTATGTTCCACTCCTTCCAATAATCATTATTGAAGCTCACCACTATAGAAAAACTGAGCTAATCACTGAGCTTGTCTACCAAATCCGAGAGGCATCGCCAGCTTCGATATATTGGTTCGGTCCGGAAGCCTTGCTTACACCCTCTGCCAACGGGAACGAGCCATTGGAAGATTGGCTACGGCCAGGGCGTGACTCTGCAAGTTTGTTGGTTGTCGATGCAGGGGAGAATTTCGATCTTCTGACGCAGGAGACTGATAATGGTAGACTAATTGACAGGTTACGAAGGTTTGAAGGGGCCATAATCCTCATTACGAGGACTAAAGCCAACGGATGCCTCTTGAGTGGACCTCACAACATTTTCGAAGTCGGTTGTCTCGAACTCGAACCAACAATGTGTTTACTGCGAGACAGACTGACGGTTGACCTCTTCGATAATTCAACTGACGAACAACTTCGAGAAATTGCTCTTCTTGTTAATTGTTTACCAAAAGCCATCATTCAGATCTCAAATTTACTCAACGATACTTCGATGAAGCCCTCGCAGTTTATTTCCATATACCAAACAAACGATCAATTCAAATTACGGCTGCTGAGTTCGGTTGCTCCGCTATTTACAATCTCGGAACAAGAATCTGTTATCGGCAAGGGCGTCCTAGACGCCAGGCATTTCCGAAGGAATTACGCTATGGCTGCTCGTATCCTCCATCACTTATATTACCTTAGCGGAAATGCAGTACCACGGTCTATCGTCTGCTCGTTGGTTGATCCTCTTGATCTCATTATCGTAATGTGTATTTTGAAAGGGAACTTCCTGGTCACAGAGGACGATGCTGAAGAGACATACAACATGCATCCGTTGGTCTACCTGTCTTTAAAGAAGATCATTACCGGTGAAAGACCAGAAACAGACCAAAGCGATATCGAGCAAGAGCTCGAGTGGTACACACAAGCCGTTATTGCTTTTGGATATGACTACCCTGACCCCGATAGCAAGAATAGAGAATGGTGGAAGAAATGCTTTCAACATTTCCTTAGCGACAGGAGTAAGAATAGTGATTCTGTACGGACTGCACTGGCTTTGGTCTACAATAAAGAGTCCAAACACCTCGTTCGTAGGGGTCTCTACAACGATGCTTTGAAGATGGCCACAGCCGCTGTTGATACACTCCCAGAGGCGTTACCACATGAGCATCTTAACGTACTTCAAAATCACCTTTCGCTACTTGATCTATTGGCCAAGTATGGGGAGCTTAGAGAGGCCTTAAATACATACACTGAAGAGCAGCCAGATGAGTTATGGAAGAAGCGGGTTGAGGGTATCTTGTACTTATCTGAGGGTACTAACAAATCCAATGTTGTTGATCTTTTCCGACAGATTCGTCGCACTAAAGAGTCCACGAAAGCTTCCGAAAATGACTTATGCATCAGCATTGACGATTATGGTATGGCTCTCATGCTGATTGGGAACTATCAAGTGGCTGAAATCGAGTTTTCAACGGCTTTCCGAAAACGAGCAACATTCCTGGGAACAAACCATCCAGATACTCTCATTAGCTGCCAACACCTTGCCAATGTTCTCCATAAGTCTGGTAGATTTAATGATGCCCTTAGGTTCGTGGAAGGTGCCATACGTGGAAGCCAAATGTCTCAAGGTGATGAACACCCACAGACTCAATACATCAAAAACCTCAAAGCACAGATCCTACTCTCAAAGGCTGTTTCATCGTCCGACTATAAAGAAGTTGAAGCCCTCTTTACAAATGCTGCCGACGTGCTTGCTTCGAAGCTATCTGACTCTCATCCCCTAGTCCTAACATGCAGGAGCAACATTGCTTTAGCAATGTTGGCCCAAGGGAGATATGATGAAGCTCTAACAATGAATCGTGCTGTTCTGACTGCAAGAGAACATGGCCCTTGGCTGGATTGTGAGCGACATCCCGACATATTGACGAGTCGACACCAGATCGCAGAATGTCTCAGGTTGAAAGAGGGTTGCCATGCCGCTCAAAGTCTGAGTTCTCAAGTATTGGTTGATAGGACACAAATATATACCGAGGGAACTTTCGAAAGCGATGACTTCCACCCCGAGCAGCTCACGAGTCTCCACCTCCAAGCTCTTATCCTTGCCGGGCTTGGTCAACACAGTGGAGCTCTCCACAAAATGGATCTCGTATTGATTGGTAGAAAACGAGTTCTCGGCGAGTCACACCCAGATTACCTCAATAGTCTCACCTGCAAAGGCGAAATTTTGCGTGGTCAGCTCCCTCTTGAAGATGGACGAGAGGAGATGTTGGATGCCATTGATATTCTTCATGGAAGAGCTTTGGAGGGGCTTACTCGAGTATTTGGTTCTCAACATCACTGGACACTTCAGTGTTTATCTTACATGGCGGCGGCAAAGCGTGAACGGGGTGATGCATTGAGTTATACCGAAGCCGCTGGACTTTATCGTCATATTTCCCGCGCTTACGAGGGAAATATGGGCGATCTCCACCCTGAGACGGTCAGAGCAAAGGCTCATTTGGCAGAAGTGATGCATCTCTTAGGAAACCGCCCGGAGGAGGCCAAGAAAGTTTTCAGAGAGGCCTGCGCTGGGCTTGCGAAGGTATTCGGATCAGATGCCCATGCAACCATAACCGCGTATAGAGGTTACGAAAAGTTTGCAAAGGACCTTTCTGACCCAGCTTAAGGCTTTTAGAGTTTGATGATGAAAGAATATTTGGAAAACAGCACCAAGGGTATGGATGGAATGGGTACGGACGTACAGATATGAGAAGTTTTATTCGGCATATATGATGCTCGAGTAGGCGTTATATTGGACAGATATTTGGGGCGTAGTCCTTCATTGATCCTTGCCCTTTGATGGTTGTTGGCACAAGCTAGAAAGATGCAATTCATAGAAGCCTCGCTGAAGGCTGGAGTTTATACACGGCTCCAATCATTTCTTTTCCTGTTACATCTGCGATTTTTGTACAGATCACAATAGTTAAATCCAATGAGCGGAGTGATTTCAGAAGTCTGATATCGAATCATTTAAACACGCAATCCAGTAATCTGTGTCTATGTTAGAAACTGCCACCATTGCATATCTCGAACCTACACGTTTTGACAACTCTAGTTCAGCCTGTTTTTGTACTTGAAACTTTTGCCAGCAAACACCCACACAAACAACACACGAACCGAACCCAGCGCCACGTCCAAAATTGTTTCAATGTCCAATCATTATTTGGGGCCTTGCTTGTGAATTCTTTCCATATACCGGTACTCAATTTTATATTATGGTTGCGATATTTGCCTTCATTTCTACCAATTCTCAATTCAATTCAATTCAATTCAATTCAATTCAATTCAATTCAATTCAATTGATTCTTTTCTTCGTGCATCCCTGGCGCAATGTTTATTATATTTCGTTCATAATTTCAGATTATCCCCGGTGGATTTGGTACATTAGACATGGCTCCAGTGGTCTTTCCTGTTTCGTCCTCTCATCTCTTTTCGCACAAAGTTGTAGATTCTACGACCCGTGCCGGGCACAATGTCTCTCAATCCTCGCCCACATTCTCCACCTCTTCCTCTTCCTCTTCCTTAACTCTACTCTCGAAATCTCCATCTCCAACTGCACTCCCTCACATCCACGAACATCTTTCCACAAATGTAGTTGACGCCCCACCCACGGTTTCCGCCACATCCTACATCAAACTCAATAACAATACACATACTTCGGTACCTACTTCCCTCCCCGATTCGACCCGAGTTGGCAATCCATATACAGTAGAAACGCAAGCACCGCAACCAAACAATACCGGAAGGGTTATTGGGATAGTCATTGGGTGTATAATAGGGGTATTGATATTAGGCGTGATTGGATGGGTATATGTAAGGAAGGTGCAACAAAGCCAGAGAAAAAGAAGGAAGGGGAAGGGGAAAGTAAAGAAATTGAAGGAGAAAGTGAAGGGTAAGGTTAAGGTTAAGGTTAAGAGGAGAAAACATAGGAAGCATAGGAAGCATAGGAAATCGGAAGACAAGGCAGCTGGGGATACTGGGGGAGAAGCACCGGTTGCTGAATCCTAGGTATTTTGTAGGGAGGGGGTACTGTGTTTGTAGGGTGCGATTGGTCTGGTCTGGTCTGGTCGTGGGTGGATTAACCTTGATGTTTGAGTTCCTGTTCAGTAATGATTATGCACGGGACGACGATATCGAGAGAAGGGGGCTCAGAGTTCGGTTTGAAGTTGGAATAATGAAGATGCATGTATGTCCACGAATGTGGTTGGTTACCTTTTGAACTGAAGTCGGATACCGAGGAAAAGTCAAGATTGTATTGGATGATTCTGATGGATCCAAAGGTTATATATGATACAATGAATGGGAATTTTGAGATGGCGAATGGCTATCTATCGAAAGACTTGGACTTTTGATATATCGATCCTGTATAATGAACACTTTATATTCAGAAATTTGAACAATTATTTAGTACCTCTGTGTGAACGCCGAGACTGTGCCAGAGATAATATCACAAAATCAATAATGTACTTATACCGGTATACTCGAGTATATTTCACAGTATATTTCACAGTTGCGTTCGCACTACTGCAATATATGGTATGGTATGGTAACGGACACGTGGGATCATATATGATGTATCGGGTAACGTGCCAAGGAATATCTATCAATCTCCAGTGCGAGCTTTCACCCCGCATCAAAGGGGGGTCTTTTTGCGAGCCATACATACAAGCATAAGCTTCGCTTGGGTGAGGCAGTGCTGGATGGAATGGGATATTTCTTATGATGTAGGATGTATTTTCGTTCTTTTTCTTTCTACTCGTGGGGAGGTGAGAGAATGTCTGATGTCTGACGGAAAGGGAACGGTGGTTCGGTTCGAAGCTGGATGATAATTTACTGGTTGCTTGATGGCAGCTTAGAGTGCATATATATTTGCACAGTTGGATTTTGGATTGGATTGGAGTGGATTGGATTGGAGTGGATTGGATGAGGTCTGTCTCAGGGTCAGAGCATTCATCCCTTAGATCTGCACTGAGATCTCATTTCTCTACCCTGTCAATATGCAGTGTTTCAATCATGTCCAGAAGCTCGACTACCTATCTTTATATGTTGATACCGGTCGGCTAGACCGTGGGGTTAAAGTGCATACATAGCTCGACTATTCTTATATATAATAATACCAGTAGCCCAGGATATGGGGTTAATGTCATAGTCTTCGATGAGGTGGTCGAATAGAATCCTCAATTGATGCATCCTTCCACGAATGCCCTTTCCCATACCCAGATCAGAACAGGCTGGGGTCGATGGAAGTTATACCGGTACTCGTACTGAGTAGTATTTGCAAGCCACCAATGCAAGATTTACCTTATTCCCATATTATGCTTCTTTAATCCAGTGCTATCTATGGATCTTGGTTACAGTAGTGGTGGAAAATGTATCAGGATTAAAAGCGGCATTGACCCCGCAATCCACTACGATTTGGTTCGTTTCTCTTCATGACAATCATTCTTAATCCTTGACTTACCTATCATCCCGCTCAATAACAATGTTAGGTTAGACTCGTCAATGTACCCCGTGGACAGTACGAGTAGAGTATTGTTATCCTGCATGGTTTGCTATAAACAGCTCGAGTCTTTAGAACTATCGAAGATCAACGGGAGGTGCACATTGTTGAGGGCGGGGATGGGGATGTGGATGGGGGATAGGATGGGGATGGGGACGGGAATAGCTCGGAAACAAACGTCAATTTTGCAGTCATCAGCAATCAAGACACTAGTGCTAGGTGGTGGTTATGGAGACTAATTGGTTGGTAGACTTTGAAAAATCCAGTAGTAGTGCAGATACCAGTACTTTCATCAGTTTGGCAGAAGTCTGTCATACATTGAGGACTAAGACCAAGACCAAGAACATAAGCTGTGTCACACTGATATGATACTGTAATTGAATTGGCTTGTCTTCCTACTTCGTGCTTGATTGGAACTCAAATGAATGAATATCACCTGCATAATGTGATCGACTGCGGGGTAATACTCAAAGTATTCTTGTTATGATGGAAGATCAAACTTCCCCACGTCGACTACATTCTTTCATTTTTTTAGTTGCTCTGTTCGGACATCCCAATGGAGCCCTACTATCCTTCCTTCTGCTTGTATGTACGTACGCAGGCTGCACTCCGAAATGTGCGCATCAATCACAATTCACGTCCACCCAGCTGGAGTTATCATGGCGAGACAAGAAGAGGGGTAGCAACATTGGCTATGGTCTGAACGTTCTTGGTTTGCTGATTCTTCTATTCATGGCAGTTTACGGGACCAATGACCGTCAAACGAAGATGCAGTGTTACCATATACAAAGCAGAAACATAGCTAATGCTACAGGAACCTTCTGATGGGTTTCTCCGAAAGTCCGGGGCCAAGGGATATAAGACATCGCAGTCAGACAAGACTGCATTGTTCCTTCGTCTTTTCACATAACTTTGAATAGCTTTGAGAAATTCAAGAAGTACCCAACATCAGCAATAATTGAGCGAAATAGCTAAGATGACGATGCCCGATGAGTTTGATATCATTGTTTGCGGTGGTGGAAGCACTGGTTGTGTGATTGCCGGCAGGTGTGTTTGAGCCACTTCAGCTGTGGATTCTTGTTGTATCGGGACTAATTGGCTCGCAGACTTGCAAACCTCGATCACAATCTTCAGGTTCTTCTCATTGAAGCTGGAGAGAGCAATCTCAACAACCCATGGGTGTTCCGCCCAGGAGTCTGTAGGATAGATGACACGTCCCCTCTATTGCCTATGACTAATAATTATAGACCCTAGGAACATGAAATTGGACAGCAAGACGGCATCATTCTACCATTCCCGACCATCAGAATGGCTAGCCGGTCGCAGAGCTGTCGTCCCGTGCGCACATATTCTCGGCGGAGGCTCTTCCATAAACTTCATGATGTATACACGAGCGTCTGCTTCCGACTACGACGACTTCCAGGCCAAAGGGTGGTCTACAAAAGAGCTTATTCCGCTGATGAGGAAGAATGAGACATATCAGCGGGCATGCAATAATAGGTTGGTGAATACATCTCATCAATGGTCAAACATCTAACCTTCTCAGGGATCTTCATGGCTTTGATGGACCCATCAAAGTCTCGTTTGGGAACCATACCTATCCAATCACTCATGACTTCCTGCGTGCTGCCGATTCTCAAGGAATTCCCACGACTGATGATTTGCAAGATCTTGTCACTGCCCAGTAAGTCATATTCTACGCTCGAGTAGTTGAGTATTCTCACAATTATACTAGCGGTGCAGAACACTGGCTCAAATGGATTAATCGAGACGTAAGTAAATAATCTTTTGCAATTTAAATGATTGATCTAACATCAACTTAGACCGGTCGACGTAGCGACGCCGCACATGCCTACGTTCACTCTACTAGAGCTGTGCATTCAAACCTTCACCTCATGTGCAACACAAAAGTGGACAAAATTATCATCGAGAATGGCCGAGCTGTCGGTGTACAGACTGTTCCAACAAAACCACTTCACCCAAATGTAAGCAATTGTCACAAAATTGACCGAACATTGCTGACTTAAACGCCAATAGCAACGTCCTCGTATTTTCCGTGCACGAAAGCAGATAGTCGTTTCAGGTGGTACACTCTCATCGCCATTAATATTGCAACGAAGTGGTGTCGGCGACCCAAAGAAATTACAAAAGGCTGGTGTCAAACCTATCATCGACTTACCTGGCGTTGGTTTGAACTTCCAAGATCATTATCTCACATTTTCTGGTATGTCCTTTTTGGCAAGACCCCTCTCCATGCTTGGCTGTACTGATATTTCCAAGTCTATCGCGCTAAACCAGGAACTGAGAGTTTTGACGACTTTGCAAGAGGTGTCCCTGAGGTCCAGAAAGCTGTTTTTGACGAATGGAATCTCAAGGGTACCGGACCACTTGCCACAAATGGTATTGATGCGGGCGTTAAAATCCGTCCAACCGAGGAGGAGTTGAAGGAGATGGAGACTTGGCCAACGCCACACTTTAGGTCTGGTTGGGACAGTTATTTTAAGAACAAATCTGATAAGCCAGTGATGCATTACTCGGTCATTGCTGGTTGGTTCGGTGATCATATGTTGATGTAAGTTTTCAAAGCTAAGGTCTCACGAGATTGACCCGACTAATTGTTAGGCCACCTGGAAACTTCTTCACGATGTTCCACTTCCTCGAATATCCATTCTCTCGTGGTGAAACTCATATCGTTTCTCCAGATCCATACGAGGCACCAGACTTCGATGCTGGTTTCATGAATGATGAGAGAGATATGGCACCAATGGTTTGGGGATACATCAAATCTCGTAGGTCGCTTAATGTTATTACTGTTGTAAATCATTTTATGGTCACATACTAATGATCCAAATCAGGTGAAACCGCTCGTCGCATGGATGCATATGCAGGAGAAGTACAGAACATGCATCCGTTCTACGCCTACGACTCACCAGTTCGAGCCAAAGATATGGACTTGCTAACCACCAACTCCTACGCTCTTCCAGGTAATCTTACTGCTGGTATTCAACATGGTTCAGTAAGTCCTATCTCTGATATTTCATACCTTCAATCCAAGGTGTTTGCAAAACTAATAAGAAATAGTGGTCAATGCCAGTAGAGTCAGGAAAACCACCACAAGTTTCCTACCTCAACAGCAACCAGCGAGACCTACAGAAAGACCTCAAATACAGTAAGGAAGATATCAAACATGTCGAGGAATGGGTAAAGAGACATGTAGAGACTACCTGGCATTCCCTTGGCGTAAGTCACCGCTTCCTAAATCTAATGAAACTCACTACCTAACACAAATTTAGACATGTTCCATGGCACCCCGTGAAGGAAATTCTATCGTCAAGCACGGTGTTCTCGACGCACGCCTTAATGTTCACGGCGTGAAGGGTCTCAAAGTCGCAGATCTATCCATCTGTCCTGATAACGTTGGGTGTAACACATGTATGTCATTTCACCTACATAAACAAGATAACGATGACTAACATACAATAGTTTCAACAGCTCTTCTCATCGGTGAAAAGTCCTCCATGCTCGTCGCTGAAGATCTCGGCTATAGTGGTAAGGTGCTCGATATGAGGGTGCCAAATTATCATGCTCCTGGTGAAATCAGTGCGATTGCTACTTCTCGTCTTTGATTTTGCTTCAGGTGGATATGCGGTGATGGCTCTTGAGAGATGATAAGTGTTTGTCTTTTAATATCATCACTCGTTATCTGGACTTTTGAGATGTTATTGGTCAATATGTGGTAGCGTACTTTTGATATAATAAATTTGTTGACTTACGTTTTAAAGTTTGAGGAGTTTCATTTCATGTTATCTCATCCCGTCAAATAAGCTTGCTATATTCTACGTCATTGCAGAAGTAAATACAGGATATGTTATAAATATTCACTGTATGTCCCAAGTGCCTTCATGTCCACTCTACTGCGTCATATATTCGCTCCCTCTAGCAAATTAAAATACGAAAACAACTGGGTTTATGCATTTTGTAAACAATCTTCACGCTACTTTGATGTATTTTTATCGTTTGTTTTACATCAATCAGTTTTTCGGAACCTGTTGTGGTCAGTCAGTGAACTACTCGAGTAATAGCAAATTTATTTACCGAGCTTTAGCTGAGGCACAAAACCTATATGAACACATGCCGGTAGATCCTTCCTTATTATATCTAAACTACTCTCATCTCGTCCATCCCATCTGCTATCGTCATTGTATCTGCATACCTTCCCACTAAATTCCATCCACATCAAATCCAAGTCAAGTCAAGTCAAGTCAACCTCCAAAATCCTGTCTAACTTATCACCTCCTTCAATCAATCATTCAACCATTCAATCAATCAATCAATAACGAAATAACGAAATACCTATTCTTCTTTCCAAATCAGAATTAGCTCCTCCTCATATAATTCAATTACAGTACGGTCCAGAATGTGATGTGATATGAATTCCCGCTTCTTTCTCTACACGGCTACAGCTACAGATACATCTCTACGCTTCCACTCATAACCTATCAGTTCAATAATACTCGAGTACAGCACATCCAATGCGATCACAATGCGTATGTGTATTCGAGTAGTACGGTTCATGAATATCTTATATAAGTTATAGTTCATAGTTTATAAGTTGTAAGTTATACACTTCTTCTCTAAAACTACATTCACATTTGTATTCAAATACACATCCCAGGACATTACAACATTCCCAACATCCAAGAGACTTGTTTTTGTAATTCTTATCTTTCTTCTTCTTCAATTCATAACTAACCTTAACCTTACGCAGTAACAACTCAAAGAGGAAATAAAGCAGAATTCAATTCAGGGTTTTAACATACATTCTCACATCACATCACTACATTATCACCACAACCTCACCACAATATCTCAAAACAAAACAAAATGTGCAACCCAACAATACATCTCTGCCACCATATGGTCGCGCCCAATAACCCACATCTGTGGCTTGGTTGTCGCACTCACAATGTGCTCGAGTGTCGTGGTAGGTTGATTGATGTTGGGAAAATTTGTGGAGGGGGGTTTGGATCTGAAGCTGGGGTTGCTATTTTGAAGGAGGAAGGAGATGAGAAAGGAGAACAGAAAGGGGAAGCGAAAGAGAAAGTACAGATTGTGAAGGTTATGAGGGTGTTTTGTCAACCTTGTCGTGATAGGTGGGGGATGGAGATGGGGGTTGGAGTTGGAGTTGGAGGAGAAGTTGGAGAAATTGGAGGATTAAGGGTATATGGCAGAGTAGTTGAGAAGAGAGTGACGGACTTAGATCGGGAGTTGAGGAAGGCGGGGATCATGTTGATGGGGAGGGAGATAAAAGATGGTTTGAGGAAGGCGGAGGAGTGTTTTGGGAGGGGATTGTGAGGAATTGTGAGGTGGGGAGTTTGCGGGGAGTTGGGGGTGTGATTGGGATTGGGGCGGGAGGAATGAGTGTATGTCGATGCGATGCGATGTGATGTGATGTATACATCCATACATCCATCCATCCATCCATCTGTCAAGATATCCAATAAGCTTTATACATACGAACCATTAGTAATCTACTCCCGTTACTCAAAAATTGCGTCTGTATTCTTATAAATCCAAAGTCCATCTACTAGACTCTCCATTAGTATCATTACCGATAAATTCCCTCATACAGTAGAAATAAGTTATATTATATTTTCGCAGTTAAGAAGAATACATTCTCCAATCCTATACTTGTATACTGTATTTCTATTCCCATTTAATATTCAAACACATCACAATAACTCAAACCGAAACCTAAACCTAACCCTAAATATAGCCCCCACGGGCCCCACCAACATAAACAACCTCCTCATCTGCACCGTGACCTTACTAATCGACTATATATAACAAACTACCGGTAACTACAAAAAGTAAGTACTAGTACTATCCACCCCCTAATACCTCCTTCTAATACTCGGATATATTTTTCAAACGCCGGGCTATCGTTAATCCTGACGTCTACTAGTATGCACATCTAATCTTCATTTAAATCATAATCGAAAATATAAATTTGATTCGATATACTGCGCGATATCGTGTTCTTTTTGCTACTAGTAGCTAGTTGGTTAGGAGATATTAAGATATAAATAAGGTATACTTTTATCTCTAATATTAATATTGAAATAAAATACAGATATTCTTAAGCTTTAGCGAGGCTTTTCAGTATATTGATGAGATGAGATAATGATAGCATAATGTAGCCTGAGACGTGTATTGTATTATATTCAGATAGATCCTTTCTTTAGTTACAAGCAAATCCTCTTTCCTCCTTTCTCCTTCCTCCTTCCACATTTTCACTACAGTACTCTTAAACCCAATAAATTCATCACCGAACCAAACTCGACTACTCAACCACTCCATTTACATTTTCATATTCATTTTCATTGTCATCCACTCACCATATCCCTATCTCTATCTATCTATCTATACCCCCAACCCAACTCGATTAACAAACAACTCCATGACTCCACACATATATAACCGATAATAAACCAAAAACACATTCCCTACCTACCATATTACCCATTGATCCTTCAAAAGTTACAAGTACGAGTATATCAATGATACAAATCAACATACAGTACATACAGTACAGAGTATAGAAACCAACCATAAAGATAAAAATAAAGATATCAAAATTATCTCATTTTCGTTTGTATAGCCCAAAACTAATATGACAAGGTTGTATGTACTAGTATGTTTGTGATCTCTGAAGTAGGCGGTTTTCATCTCTTGTCCTATTTCTTACTCGAACATATTATTAATAACTATCGGAGTCTGTTTTTGGATAAGTCTTAGCTGTACGAGTATATTGTGCTATATATCCTAATGGTCATTCTGTTATCTTAGATCTAGATCTAGTCGTTTTATCTTTCCTCATTTATGGACTCCAAGTCAAACATGACCTTCTCTACCTGGAACACTCCCAATTGTCTACCCTTGGTTTTTATTCTGTGAATACAAAATGCTAAATCATACTCGAGTATCAGTGTAGCCAGTGAGGAACGATACGAATTGTGCCTCAGCACCTGAATCTCTCGCTAACCTCTCCTGAAACCACATCTCCAACGCCTTAAACGCACAATGACATACTGGAATTGCTTCCACACCCCAGACTGTCATTCCAATCCCTTGCTCTTCCCAAATTTTCAGCTTTTCATCTTCGTGACGTGTATTGAAAAGATTGATTGAATTTTCCGGGACACCAGTACAATCAGGACAAGCACGAATATGATATGCATAGGAACAAAGAGCAATGGCACTTTTCAAGATCCCTGGGATTGCAAGCGGGTTGAGTAAAGGGTCAGTATCAGATGCACGATTCGAGAAGTTTTCTTCTGCTAGCCGACATATCTGAGCAGCGTTCCAGATAGCGGTGCGGGGGTGTGGTGAAGACATCCAGCTGCTGACACGCGCTTTCGTTCTTTGTGTAGTCAAGCCGGCTCCAGGACGACATTTGAAGCAGCACCCTTGTCGCTGTAACAGCTTTAGGGGCGCACGAACTGTGAGGGCTGATATATGCCATAGCATGAGATTCAATTGTGGAGATATGTGATCCCCACTGATTTCGGTAGAGTGATTGTCTGAGCGTGATTGGGCATGTTCCTCCATGCTTGTGCGCCAATGATCGAGTTGAGCACTCCATCGATGCACTGGATCGCTTCGCTTTGTGTCAATTATCAGCTCATCTGAATCACAACAGCAAAAGGCATCGCGAGCTGCTTCCCACGTCCCAATCTGCAGAGAACAAAGTCCGAGATGATAGTCGTTATCGGTGAGATGGTAAGAGACTGAATATGCATCGCTAGCATCAATGATATCTCGCATGAGGAAACAAAATAGGGCCTTCTCGCGACCTGCAGGTTCATTCCATTGAAGTCTTCGCCTTTCTTCCTCAGTTGCAGCAGTCCACAGCTTCGTGGACTTTGGGAGGGGAATGCTGATCTCCTGATATCGAACAGATGGAGGATAATCCATGAGTACGCTCAGATAGGCATCTACTCTCAGAGTGGCAAATGCAAGCCTAGTCAATGTCAGAATATAACTAATGCTCGTCCGAGAAGGTAAGGGTAAATCTATACCTATGAAGTTGTTCTTGGACCAGCCAAAGATCGAATGGGCAATCTCCGAGCTCATAATATTTATTTTGACCATTGAAGATGCCCGCGTGACGACAGGTGGAGACGAGAGCACCATTGAGATGGACGGCTCTCGATGACATTCCTTTGGTAGTCTTCCAATGGTATTAGTCATGAACGATGAGTATAAGACGTAGGTGTATATTCCTCAACAACATAACATACCAAAAGGGAAATACTGTATACAACACATAACAAAAGACCCTGGAGATTCTGAAGCGATGATTGATCAATCTCCTTGTCGAATGAAAGACTGGATTCCTGCATACTTAGGTTAGTTGTAAGTATAACAATTTTACAGGAGATTTGTTACCAATCGAGCCACTGAAATTGCCTCAAATACCATTGAAGCAAGCTTTTCATGATTTGCATCACCCTCTAGCCAATTTGCAAGCATCAGCATAGAACCTAGTAAGATGGGAGAAGCAGTTTGAGGGTTAAACGTCGGAGCATGCAAAATCGGCCAGGAGGGATGAATTTTGGTAAAATACGCTTCGAGAAGTTGTTTCAAGAGGGCCGGATCTTGACTCAATGTCCTGCGTAATTCTGACAAATGATCTTGCTCGCAAGACCATGATGATAGGGGTGATTGTGATGCCAATGTTGACATTGTTCTATCGCTAGATTCACCATCGTAACGCGTTACGTTCATCCAAGGCTTGAAAGGATCATCAATCACATGCAGGGAAAACGGTGTATCATTAGATAGAGGCATGGGAAATATATCTGTAAGACTCCCCACTTCGTCTGGGGGTTGACCCCAGGGTAATACCGCATTAGCTTCAGCTGGAAATAAGAAGTTAAGAGTCGCATCAGAATATGGAGGTAAGGGTAAGGTTAGATTTTCCGATTGAAACCAAGGTTGTGAATCATCAAAACTTCGCAAGGAATTATCAATATTGGCCGGGCCGGTCCTGATGATAGCCTCATTCGAATTTCCACTACCAAGTTTGGTACGGTTACTCCAATCCTCAGTCAGCCGGCTGCATTCGGTTGACGTGCGAAGGCATGATCGACAAGGTGAAGTATCATCACACTTGAGTTTTCGTTCATGACATGATGTGCACGCAACCGTTGTACGTTTGGTGTTGAAGCTTTGAGTATGATGGTCTAGATGCCGCTTCAATACGTCACTAAATGTATTGAAGGCGATTATCAGTTTGATTGTTTGTACAACTGAAGGATTGATGATTACCTTCGTGCGTATCGTCGTCCACACACAGAACATTCATGTTGAAGCCTAGTATCATGTGACTTCATATGTCGAGTAAGATGCTCCTTGCGACTGAATAGCTTTCCGCACTCGGATACATTGCATTTGATGCGCTTTATTATTGGTTGCGTTGGGGTTGGAGATGTATCTGCTGCTTGTGGGGTGAAATATGTAGTGGGAGCAGTCTGTGCCATGGTTCTCTGCAGTGTACACAAACTTTTGCCGGTGGATTGTGATAAAAGGGTGGTGAAGTAGATTGGAAAGATATAAGTTGAGGTTAAAATAAAAGTAAGACATTCATCTATTGGTGGTTAAACCGACCAACACTGCTTAGCCAAGCTCTGAATATGAGGGTTGAAAATTATGATTTGCACAAGTAGCAAGTATTGTATTCCTGCATCCCCAGAGAGTATGATGCTGTTCATGATTGGACTTTGACAAACCAAGTTAACTAATTATCAAAGAAATCACCAAGTTGAGTGAATTATTTACTAAGGAAGGATGGATGATGTGAGCCGGAAAAGTGTATATGATTATGTAATCAATCTAGCACACAGCCACAGCTAGCATTTCAACCTCATCGGTGGCTGGCCCATCCATCATTGGATTAGAAACGACAACAAAAGATCCAGGATTATGATGTGCTTTTCGTGCATGTGCTAGATACCTGGCTAATAAGGTTACAATGGTCACATATCACATCTTCTACGACTCTTATTCCGACAGACTGTAGACTACCAGTCTACCACTGACAAGTATTCCTCCGCGAGATCAATGGGCTGAACTAAAGCGAGGGGTGAAAGTTGGCCGGTGGCATGTGGGATGCCACGTGCGCGGGATATCGCACCGTCTTTTGCTTACCGGTTACGCCATATTAGCATGCTTACAAACAATCGCATTGTATCATCATTTGTAATCGGCTCCCTCCTCCCTCCTCCCCCCTCCCTCAATATTTGAACATGTATATACGACTCCCTTGCTTCTCAAAATTCATTGACGACTACTTCATCTAAGTGCTACTTCTTTTCATTTACAAACCACAATAACTTTACTCATCTACAAACATGTCTGGAATCACGAAAGTCACGCTAGCAGGAGTAAGAAGTCACCGCATGTCCTTGTTCATATTAGACTAAATCTAACATCTTGATAGGCCTCCGGCAATCTTGGCCCAACAATCCTCGATCAGCTTATCAAAGCTGGCTTCGAAGTCACAGTCCTCACTCGACAATCAAGCTCTCACACCTTCCCCTCATCTGTTACAGTCAAACCTGTCGATTATGACTCCCTCGAATCACTAACTAGCGCCCTCGCTGGACAAGATGCCATCGTATCCACCCTAGCATCTGAATCCCTCGACAAACAACTTCTTCTTGTTGAAGCCGCAGCCAAAGCTCATGTGAAGCGCTTCATTCCATCTGAGTTTGGTTCCAATACGCCAAGAGAGAACACCGGAGCTTTGCCAGTCTTTCAGCACAAAGTCACCGTCCAGAATGCGCTCAAGAAACATGTTTCCAGCGGATTATCATACACCTTTGTGGTCAATGGTCCATTCCTTGATTGGGGAATCATGGTTGGATTCGTCATGAGCGCAAAGGAAAAGAGTATCACCCTTTACGATGGCGGTAATCGAACATTCAGCGCCACCACCCTCCCAGACATCGGACGAGCCGTCGTCGGTGTACTCCAACATCCAGAAGAGACAAAGAACCGAGCCGTCTATGTACAAAGTTACGCGACTACACTCAAGAACCTCGCTGCCGTTGGCAAAAAGGCTTTGGGATCAGAGGGCTGGACCGAAAAAGTTGCGTCGGTTGATGACATCCTAGCGGGTGCATGGGAGGAAATCAAGAAACCGCAGCCAAACCCTGAGAAATTTGCTCATCAATTCATCATTGCTTCCATTTGGGGTGAGGGATATGGATCGAACTTCGAGGCCTATCACAAATTGGATAACGAACTTCTGGGAATCAAACAATTGACTGAGCAAGAACTGGAGGAATTGATCAAGAGTCTGGCATAGAAGGATTATGATATTCGTGGTTAGCGAATAGTGGAGCTATCTATCTAAAGTCAATTTACTATGCCTTCCTCTGTGCAGATGATAAATAACATGTGAAATGATGCTATATTTTTGGTAAATCAAGCATTAGCAAATAATCACTGACTTTCGAACCAAGGGTAATCAAATCATTCTCATTGTTTAGCTTGAGTGTACAGGTTCACAGTCAATGACTATATCAGAAAACACTGAGTCTCGAGACAACAGCTCACTTTGCATCGGTCTATGCGAGTGGATTCATAAATAAAATCAAGAATTTCTATAAACCCACACTAAATATTGCCTCAAAGCACCGTATTTCCCAACACAACCCACTAAATATAAGCATAACAAAACGGCCCATCAATCGTCGACAACAAACTACTAATCTTCTGCTTCGGTGCCAAAATCCCAAAATCCACCATCGTATCAAGCGTAACATTCGGGCTCGGAGGAACTGACCATTAATTAGCAAAATTCCCTCTTATAATCTTAGCAAAGAATCACTCACCATCAAAAGCCGTACCCGTCCCATAAACCTGCTTAGTTCTCCTCCCCGCATCCAGATTCTGCCACAACCCCCAAACTTTATCCACCATCCCATGATGCAACCAAAATGCCGGATCCCCGGCACTAGCATAGGCATCTAGACCCAAACCGCCCATGGAAAAATGCCCACCAGCATGCACTCCATCCAGAGCTTCGAGAGTAGTATCGAAGGCTCCTAGATCCGCACTATTTTTGACGAGTTTTACGATATCGCTAGGTTTGGTATTGTTGGACCAAATTAGCGAAATATCGCGCGATAGGCAGCGCGGATTATAGCCGAGACCGTGGGAGGGTCCGTAGGGCGCATATGCGACAGGACCGAGGTTTACGCTGTAGTTGGAGAAGGGACCGGAGATGCATCCCCCACCGGTGGCGGGTGGCATGTCCAGCGTGATCCCGAATGCGGAGATGGTAGTGTTGCCACGGTCAGAGGTGGGAGCGCCGTTGCTGCCCAGGGATGTTGGAGAGCCGTCGAAGACGGTGGATTTACGTGGGTCGCGCCAGGAGAGTGTCCAGTCCCAATAGGGTTGGTAGCCTTTGTAGCCGCATTCTTCGCGGAGAGCCTTTTCGTAGAGCCATACTAGGTAGCGATGAAAGTGGAAAAATAGACCCTGGATTAATCATTAATGTTTGTTTGTGATATCTAGAGTCTGAAGAGGCTTGGTAGCTTACGCTGAAGTGAACATTAGGCGTCACTTTGATATGGGTAGCACTAAAATCGTCATATCGACTTCGTGCACCCGGTACGTCCTCCTTCGTGCTTTTAGGAGATTTTGATTGCAGGCATTGGACAGCCTTGATATAATCTTTTCGTGAGCGTTCGGAGAGTGATCCCCTTAGGCTAAGTCAGTATCCATGAACTATCCAAACTATGGATCATAATTACCATTCTTGACGATACACAATATTTCGAGAAGTGCATCCTGTTCTATGGTGTTTGGTTGATGTTCTGATGTATTGATTATACTCATTCTGCCATTTGTTTATCTGTTTGGATGCGTCCGCCTGGCTATTATCATGGCCATGGCCATAGTCTGCAGCAATAAATGGCAGGTTAGCCAAAAGAAAACAATAAGAAAACACAGTGAGCTTCATATTTGCAGTAATAACTCATATACAGCGAAGCGGGACTCAGAAGCTTATCTGGGAGAGTAATAACTTTTGTACTGACACCGATCCCCTTTGCGGCCATCTCCTGAATAACGAGGCCCGCTGCTCACTGCGGCGCGGCCGAACATTTCTCAGACCTGTCTTCTCATCTGACGCATTTTACGAAGGATTGTCTAGTAGCTGCCTAGGACGACATTCATTCATTCCAGCCGTGAACGCCCAAAGGATTATTCAGACTCACTCCGAAATCCTTCAGGTTTCTTGACCGCTGAAGCAACTTTGGTCGCCACATCGATCGGGACTCGAGGCCGTATACTCTGGCGGCATGGGATAAATGCTCACTCGAATTCTCAACTCAAGACACATTGTAATGGAGAAGAATAGACGGTTGGAAATAATCCTTCCAAATTCTTACACGGCTAAGACAGTATCGTCCAAGAATTATGAATGTAGGATCGGATTCCCTGATGGGGCGCCATTGAGGGGAAGCCCTAGTAAATAAGAATCAGCTACGCCAAGAACATAAGCTATCATCGTATTTTATCTCCTGGGCCGTTTCTCCGATTATCCAAGAGGTACGAAAACGTGGTGGTAAGGAAAAAGCATGGCATGCACCTGCAGTCAGCAAAAGACACGATACATGAGGGGTAAGACCTGAAGCGAGGGGTAAGAATGCTTACTGTAACCCTACTGTACGCCATCGGTAATACCAATTTTAGACAACACAATGTCTCAGACACCCCACATTACGCCGAACGTCGGCGCCAGAAACCTGCGTCAAAAATGCCTGTCAAAGTTGGTGTATGATGATCATTTTGTAAATATTCAGCTTCTCATTCCTGGAAGCTTTTCCATAACATGTGAAATGGGGGTGACATAGACCGGAGTGTGAGATTCTCATCCACTTATATCACCTCACCACTTCCCCGACTCAATTATGTCCCCCATCAAGTCTCACTTACTTGACAGACAGACAGACAGATACTCATAACATTTCCAACCAACCACAATGAAATTCACCACTACACTCCTCGTTTCCGCAACGCTAGCTTCCACCGCGTTTGCGCACCGAAGAGATGATCTCCCACGATGCTCCACTAACTCTGATTTACCATGTGCTTGCCCTGCCGGTACAGACTACTGGGAATCTTCCACCTGGTCTGTAATTGGCGCCAGCGCAAACGATGTCAAGGACTTGATTATGGACTGTAAGTTTGCATCTTCTGCGTAATACGGTGAAATACTAATTTGTGCATTAAACAGACTATAAATGCGCGTGGCTGGGAGTTGTGCCTTACGAAACGCATGGTCCGGACAATAAACCTGGTGTTTCGATTCGGACTTCCTATTTGCCTACGAAAGTAGGCACGTATAGTATTACTGAAAAGGTAGTTTCCCATTCCCAATCCCTCAATAAAATCCCCCGTCACTAGCGATAGCATAAAACCAAAACTAACACATCCTCCAAAAAGTTAACCGACCTCAAAATCGATTCCCGCGGTGGTTTCATCGAGAAATTCGAGCAACTAGCCTCCACCGTACCCGTCGAATATAATTCCGGCAATGGCTCTTTCAGCGGATACTGGGTCACGCTGGAGAGTACATACATATTCAAATACGAAACGGCGATTCGATGGAGCATCTATGCTTGTGAGACGGGACACGCGCGAAGTATGTTTGATTTCCATTTCAAATGATGTGAATGGAGAAATATGCTAATCTTCGATTTCTCATGCAGATTTTGCCGTCTTTCATGAGAATGCTCTGAAGAATGCCAGTAGTGTTCTGGCGGCACAGGGGAAAATTAAGGGGATTGATTTGGTGCCTTATTCTGTGCAAAACTTTTAGTAGTCGTGTTTGAGTCAGGGACTAAGTAGATGTTTGGTGGCGAATCCATGTGTAACTAGCAACGACCATCATTCGAGAAGGAAGACTTAACAAAATTCAAGAGAAATTACCATATTCATTTTTCAAAATATGAACGTGAATTCAAGCCTAAAAGCCCTGATATTATCAATTCGAACACCAAGGCCTCGATGTTTGAAATGATCTCAAATGATAGGGCTTTCAATGTGGCAATTTTGAGAATCAGGGTGATAATTGAGATTGTATTGATTTTGTAGAATAACACCAATGCCAGAGACCAATATAGAAACTGAATTTTTATGATTGAACCTAGGGCACACATTCAATCCTAGTCTTCAGGTCTTCATACAATACCTGCATTATCCGACCAGAGATTGAACATTGCAGCTTGTCCAGGCAACGAAGTATAACAGGTATAGAAACTAGTTGTATTGAAACTTGACATGGGTAGATCTCACTGATAACATTCCCCACACATTATTGTGCTCGTTCCCTAGCATGCAGATCATCTTCCGCCCAGCCTTCCCGAGTATCTTTGGGTATGCGTATAAATACCACACTGATAATGAGGGCAGCGCTTGCCAAGCCGACTCCCAAATATGCAGCACTATGGTAGCCCTTCAGAAGATTATTTCCATTGTCGTTGGTGTTTACCTCCACTGTCCCAGCAATGCCCAAACCAGTGCTCAAACCATAACCAAGTAGTGTGCCTATTAAAGAGCCTGCAACGCCTTGATATTTCATTGGTACAGTGTTACTCGCTATAATCTGAGCGCTGGTGGTGATCAGATCAATGGTGAAGGCAGATATGAACATTGCGGGGAAAGCCATTGCCCAGTAAGTCAGATTTGCCGGAATAGTGGCAAGAAGAACGTTGATAATGACCATGGCTAGACATCCTAAGCCAATGATGACTTGTGCCGGCACTCTGGGAACTAGCCACGCCGCGAGAAAGGCTACTGCACATCCAACTATAGTAAGTGGCAAATACTGAACGCCAGTGAGAATGAGGCTGTCTCCGCGGACGTTTTGCATATATGCATTCATGTACCAAAAGAAGATACCCAGGCTCATGAAAGAGAAGAATATGGTCAACATAAGGAGTCCGAATGACGGTGCTTTCCAGATATTGAATGGCAGGATTGGATCTGTGGCAACTTTCATTTCCCAATACACGAATCCTGCGAAATGAACGATAGATACGACAAGAAGCGCGATCTCGTAAGGGTTATTCCATCCGACGAGTGGGGCTTGACTATGGATACGTTAGCTTGTTTGACATGATGTGGGGGATAGTCAAAACATACTTCCAAACGAAGTTAAACAGGATGAGAGCAGCGACTCCTAGGTAAGAGCCAACCCAGTCCACGGTACCTTTGGGATCAATAGGAATATCTGCATCAACTGCCGCGATGGCAACACCGTAAACCACAAATCCTAGTAGACCACTGAGTGCAATTAGTAAATGAGGTCCGTGAACGGGCAATTTCGCAACTTACAGCATGAAAAAAAGCCATTTCCAATCAGAAAGCTGGACAATGACCGCCCCGACAAGAGAACCACCAGCAGCACCGACTGGTGCCATTGCGCCGAACAACGCGAAGCTTAAATTCCGTTTCTTCCCGGGTGGAAAAGTTATGCCTAGCAAAGCCACGATATTCGGTATCATGAGACCACCGCCCATTCCACATAGTCCTCTCATGATACACATTGATATCAAGTTGTCAGAAAATCCACCACATAAAGCCCAAATAGTCCACCAAACGCAACCAGCGGTAAACACATTCTTATGACCATAGACTGCGCCTAGACGACCGCCTATTGAAATAACGACATGTCAGCTAAATTTCTGTTGACCAAGAGCATAAAGATATAATCCGATGGGCCTCACCAATCAAAACGAAAGTTCCTTGAGTCAAGGGGTATGAGGCAACGATCCAAACGGACTGAGCTTCAGTTGCACCCAATGCTGCTCCGATAGCAAAGCTAGAATTGATACCAGCACCCAAAGGAATCATTTGAACCAGTTGGGTCAAGGTGATAAAAACCATAAAGACATTCTGTCTCAATAGACTGGGCATTTCGTTCTTAGGTGGTGTGTTGCTGCCATTCTCGAGAAAAGTATTGGCGCTTGAGGGAGAAACAGTATAGATCTCCTTGTTGCCGTTCTCTCCTTGGTCATTTTGTGGATGTGAAGACATTGATAAAGTATGCTGGCCACTACCGAGTTCAACCACTGGTGAATTATTGTGATCCATCGAGAAGGAAAGAATTTGGTGAGAGTAAAGAATTCAGATCAGAGCGTCACTTTGAAAAGAAGTTTGTTTGTTCATAGATGTTTGTAGAAGCTTGAAATTCTCGAAATGTAGACATATTTACATGTTTCACTTACCTTTGACGGGCTTGAATACAGCAGCTACAATACCTGCTTACCTCATGCGATATGTCCATATAGTATTCAATATTGCAATATTGAGCCGAGGGGGATATGCGGTGAATATGTGTTATTGACTTTTTTATTGAATTGAAACTTTTTGAAGTTTTGGCGATGTGTGATATGTGGGATGCCGAGGACATTTATGATCTAGTACATATTGGGCTTAGCTTATCGCGCTCACTTATGCCAAACACCCCACATAACTTCCACATCCACCCCCCTTCATCCCACATACACAATATCACTGTGTTCAGCCACCTATGGATAGTTCCAATTGTAAGGGTACTATGTCAATTCTCAGAATCAACATCTTACTCAGAATCAACGTCTTACGCCGTGAGGCGACTCAGGCGAGTGCCCAGCGCCAGCATCTTCGAATACAATATGACAAGATGTATCTTGCGAGAGGAGTTGCGTTCGATACAATCAATTTCAGTTCTATCGCTTGACCAGTTAGCATTTTCTTCAACATTACAGATCTCTTTTCAATATGGCAGCAGTAGAAGTTGACAGCCAATGCCGCTATCATGAAACGTCCGCAGCTTATGTGCTGCCAAAAGCAAACGAGTAGGCTCATTGTCATTAGTCATGAAAAGCTTTACTGATATCATTGTCATAGCATCATTGAGCAGGATCGACTTGATGCTCAAGCGGCTGCTATTGTCGAAATGATTGGCGGCTTTCCTCTCTTGGCTTCATTGCGAACATTAGACAACATCTCTAAGGCGGTTGAGTGAGTATAGCCAGTTCTTGAATTCTGCAAGATCCGATCTCAATTCTCGTTTGCATGTTTTATACTATATGTTCAGTTCATTCCATAGTGCCACCAGACTGATTGTATGCTGCGCATTTGCTGATTTCACGGTGTCCTAGTGTGGGTTGTGGTACTGGTGTCGCAACAATCCAGATTGCCACAGTGTTGCCATCTGCTACGATCTATGGCCTCGACCTAACTCCAGTCCCAGAAGCGTTAAAGAAAATAGTGCCAGGGAACATTGTTTGGGCTCAAGGAAATGCATTGGATGTTGACTATAATCAGCCTGGTAGTGATGTCATGAGCCGCGAGATATTCAACCCCGGAGAGCTGGATTACATCTTCGGCCGCATGCTTTTCTTGGGGATTAACAATTGGCCAAAGTATTTCTCAATCACCTCAAACGCAATGAGATCTGGTGGCATAATTGAACACCAGGATTTGGACTGGAAGTTTTACCGCGTTGGAACGTCAGAATGCGTAAGTGATGACTGGGAATGGCACAAGGCCATCGTCTCTGGTGCCAAACAATCTGGCTTGTCAACAACTTCGGGCTCGGATGCAGCACCGCTTATGAAATCTTCTGGTTTGGAGGTCTTAAGCGTTCAAACTTTCGAGTTCTCGTTCGTTCCTTCGAGCAAAACGCCTAAAAGCCAAGCAATGGGGAGGTATGTCCAAGCCAAATTGGTACCACAGTACCCAGAATTACTTCGCAAAATGCTAGGGGCTAATGGCATAACTGGGGAGAAATTGGAGAAATTGACAAAAGCATGTCTTCATGATATCACTTCCGAGGAGGGAGTGCACCAGAAGTATACCGTCACCATTGCAAGAAAACCATAGACTGGAGAAGGCTTCGTGGAAGACTTAGAGATTTCTACTGTGATGGAAACGACACTTACAAGTTGAGGCTTTATATTTTCAAGATTCATGAATTTCAAAATGTACTACCGTACATTACGTTGGCATAAAGACGTATACTTTGGCTTACAAGAAATTTTGACTGACTAGTCAAATTGAACCAAAGAACTCTTCACCATTAAATTTGTTGTCATTTAATCATCATCTCAAATTCCCATCTCTATTACGTAAACAATTGAACACATTTTCTCCAATATTCACTACAAATCAATCACTCAGCCGCAAATGGAATCAGACAGCTCTTACCTACCATTCTCCGGTATCGGATCATGATATTTAGCAAACCATCATTCATCTGCATCACCCCTTCGTACTCCTCGTAAAGCACCCAGTGGCCCCCGAAACTGCAACAGGAAACCCGTTGGAGCTTGGCCGCTCCTCAACTGCAGATCGGCCAGGCAGTACAGTAACCTGCAGAGTAATGCTGTCAGCTGGCGTCATTTCTTATGTCGAGACGCGCGACCATGGCTTGGCTATGCAAAGAGTCGGATATGTGCTCGTGCATGATGCATATAAGCATTTGCGTTTGAACTTTGAAGGAGGCTCGATCTACTCGAGTAGTGATGTCTCATATAGTCATTCCTTATTTCGTACGAAGCGAATTTGCATACTGATCTATGGATGAGTTTCTTTGTAAAAATAGAAATTCGCTTCGAAGATGTCACTTGCGGTAAGTGATGTCTTCAATAGATATTTTGTTCGAGCCCTCATTATGTTGCAAATTATTGCCATTCGTACGGATCTCTCTACCGCAAATGCCTGGACCACCTTTCTCTATCCCTGGTATCCATTCAAGTGGTTTATGCAGTGTTTTTACGCGAATTGTCTCAAGTCATTGTTTTCAAGTGTTGCTAACAAGTTTGAATTTTTTGAGTGAATTCTTTTCAAGTAATGGAACCGTTTCTGATTAGTTAGATATCTTCATAGCTACGCGATCATACCCAAGAACTGAAGTCGTAGTCTAGTCAATCTTGCCCAGCAATAAATTTTTGTTAAACTCCTTCAATGACAATAGGAAACTACTCTGTCATTGTAACCCCCGCATTATCGGTCTGTGGTTCAACCAATGAGATTCTCTTACCGATGTCTCTCTGCATAATTTTCGCGTCATAATGATGGCATCAGCTTCAACCCGCTTGTAACTTCCAATAAGGCTCCAACTAAGGCATGAGCCAACTCTTCTTCCAGTGGTGTGCATGACTTTTTGATTCCTCCCTTGTCATGTACTGTGCCTTTTTAGTCGCACTTGGCAAATGTATTGAAGGATTCTACCTACATCCTTCACTGAATACGAACTCAGCCTATGTGGGATTTTCCCTCCATCGTTCAGGTGCAATTATCGCTAACGTTTGACTTTCCAGCGAATTCATCAACGACTTTATGCGGTCATAGGGCCGAAAAGAGCTAGTTCGAAAAGCGATTTCACTTGCTTATAAACTGCAGAAATAATCCTGATCACTAAATTTTACTCTGCCTTCATTTTCGGTTCAAACTCATGGAAATGCAACAAGATATTCTAAATTGCTATGTTTGGGTTGGACAGAAACGGGTGGGTAAAATAAGGAACGTAACAGCTAAGTGGCCTTGGCACTGGCCTTGGTGTAAAGTACTTGAACGATGGAGGAGATATATCAATCTTACTGCAGGCAAGGCTTATTCGGAATGACGTTCCTAGCCGTAACGGTTCCCCGCTCCACGTGGAATATATCCTGCCATAGTTGCATCAACCTGATCTTACTTCCAGGATGCTCGTGTCATCTTCAACCCATCTGAAAGATGCCTGCATTTCGGTTAAGACGGAGTCTTAATAGGGCTGCTGTATTGATGGAGTTTTCATAAAGTGTATGGTCTCTGATACGGTGAATGGATCGATATACGAGTATTTCATTCGTGGCTTCACACAGCTTTGCCACCTACTGAATTCGACACCAGCCAAGTTTATGCCGTGATTATTGGCGCAGTTTTCACATTGAAACCCAATCAAAGATGACACTTATAGTACCACACAAGCTGCTTCCATGAAGGGGCTTACGCGAATAGGTGAATTGCGGTCCGACACGAGGCTTATAGATTGATATAAAAAGTAGGCTCTACGAACTGGACTGTCGCTACATCGACCATCTGTAGAACTTTTTATTCAAGACTCTATTCTGACTTTACCTTGCCTCGACACCCGATTCAACAAGTATACTCCAATATTCAACAAAGGAGTTTCCATGATCACTTTCTGCATCATGTTCGAAGTTATCCTTTTCATCGGCGCTCTAGCCTCTACTCTAGCCTTTGCTTCGGCACATATAATCCGAATATGCAGCACGCGCACTAGAGTTACGGCCCCAGTGGTCGTCCCCATCCAAACCAAGGTAAAGGAAAAGATCGACAATAACGAAAATGTCTCAAAATATCAAGCATTGAGAAATCTACGAGATCAACATGAAGTTGCAGCAGTCATGTCAAAATTGATCGATGAAGATGGTGCAGGAGCTTGGCCACCCAATGCAAATCATGATTCGTGGCCCATGGCTCTTCGTCCCTACAAGGAAGTTTACTTCCAGCTCATCCCACTCCTTTCCGCGGCCCCACCTTCGCTAAACGACGATGTCAATAATGAGAGACGCGAGAAATATCGATCTATTATGCGGAAGTCGCTGATGGAACGAATTAATATCCCACAAGTGGTTGCGATCATGACTGCTGTAGAAGCAGGGAATTGGGATCTCTTCCCGAGGGATGCATATAATGGGTTTTATTGCTGCGTTGCCGTTTGCCGCCACGCATACAGGTATCGTATCTTGGTCTCGGTAAATTAATATGTACTAAGGGATCTGCAGATGGGCAACCATTCCCGTCGTCAAGGTGGCTCAATTAGAGAAGATCGTGGAATTTCCTTCAGAGCTCGACGCTCCTTGGCCATATCTTCAGCGGAATTTTGGCGTGGACGCCGATGCCGGAAACAACACCTCTAACGTCTTGTTAAATTTTAATACGAGGGGAGAAAGAATTTATAGAATCAATGTCGGGATGTCTGATTTGATTAAATCATCCGAAGAAGTTTTCTTCCAAATGTTCTATGATCTCGAAGTTGTAGTAAGCCTCCATCCCTTTCTCTTTCCTCCTTTTCATAACCATACTTTTACTCACACCCCACAGGCCTTTCCCATCTACCACTCAATGGTCCTCTCAATCCTAACCTACACCTCCTCTTCTCCAGCCACCTGCCTCCCGCATCTCCGCACCATCAACGCTCGTGTCCGCGACCTCTTCCTTGTATTTTACGAAAACCTCACCAAATCCCGCGTTTCCCATTCCGTCTGGCTCTCCTATATTCAAGGCTTCCAAGGCTGGGGTGTTGGAAAGATGGTTGATGGAGAGTATGTAAAATACGATGGGCTTTCTGGAAATCATGTACTGTTTTTCCAAGCATTGGATGCGTTTTTGGGAATGGATAGGTATTTGACGGATGAGAATATGATGAGGTATATTCCGAGAAGGCAGAGAGAGCTATGTCTTGCACTCAAGAAACACAGTTTTGTGAAGGGGGCAAGGGAGAATGGGCAAACTGTGATCGAAGAGGAATTTGGGAAGATGATTAATCAGCTCAAGGTATGTATATCAGTCTCCAACATCTATGTTCAGCATCTAGCCCTCCCTTCTTGTGGGGATCTTATGCTGATATAATATCCCCAGGTATTCCGAGCAGCTCACCGCGCACGCGTTATGTCCTATCTTCAAGAACCCGCTCCTGAGCGCCTAGTCATGACAGCCGGTAAATCCGTGCTCGAAAACTCAGGCACTAAGTGTCTAGAAGATGCATTGAAGCCTTTGGATGACATGTTGGCAACGCGATTGAAAGAAACTGCTGATGTAGGGAACACTAGTGTTGGAGCCTGATGATATGGAATCATAAAAAATATATTAGGAGATATGGTAGGATACGCTTGAGATAGATTTTTGATTAGATTCATCAATAGAAACTCGCGGCAATACAATGAAGTGAGATGTTTACTTGTTTTGTTGATATGGCTTCTTTGCTGATTATCCGTTTGCAAATCTCTGGCTGTGGTGATTTCTGGGTTAGATCTTCAGCTGTGGTGTGTGTGCTGACATGTCACATGGAGTGTGGCGTTGGAAGCCGGTGGCACTGGGTGGGAACTTGGAAGGGGGGGGGGGTTGGGAAGTTTGTCCATGGAATAGGGATCCCTAAGTGGGATCCTTCTACAGTTCCTTAGCTGAGCATTCAATAACGTCAACCTCGAGTTATGATTATTACACGCTGACAACATACCATACTTGGATTTTTCTTGACCTAGTACAATAATTAATATTTCGATCCTCCATACACTACTCAATCATCGGTATCTTACTCATTAGCGATATTCGGCATAAATGGCGAATTATATTGGAATTACTCGAGTACAAGAAATCCATATCATCCAAGTATCCAAATCTAGTTCATTGCGTTCAATACATTTCATCTGATGATTTAGATCATACAATCTAAATATCTTAAATCCATCTCATCACATTCCTCATTTTCTATCTGACAGTTTCAAACATGAATCTCAAATATTTGACTTCGAATTAATACAATCACAAGATTTTGTCTGAAGGTAGATCAAACTATAATATCTAAATATCCAAACCCAGCACGTCACATTGACTAAATTCCATCTCACACTATTAGGGTATTTCACATCAATCTACAGAGCCACTACAATGAGTTAACTAGTACCCATTATATATTCGAGACTCGATGGATATCTTCATTCTTCCGACAATAGAAACGAAAAGTGAGTTAAGTGACAATCTTGTTGGAATATAAATATAGCGCTATCTAATAATCGATTAGGTATCTCTCTTGAATTCTCACCAACATATCCGCAACTGCTAATTCAACGACTAGACATATTTGACCCGATATGCTTAGTGATAAGAGATGCAGAACCATGAGTCCCCAACCCAATCTTCACCAATCAACACTTCGTAACAAACAGTTTCGCCTTCGGCCTCTCAATCTCCTTAATCTCCAAAACCTTCCTCCTACACCACGGATCCTCACAAGAACAATCCACCCATTTCTCTTCAAACTTCGGATTCGCAACTTTTTTCTCCCACTCCTCTTCTTTCTCCCTTTGTTTTGTACATTCCTCGCAATCCGGATCCGAACATGCATAATCGATGTATGTCTTATGACAGCGATGAGTTTTATCTTTGCAAGATGTTAGACCGCAGCGACTGTTACATTTTACCATTTCGTGGGTGCGGGAACAGTGACGCTTGGAACAGATTAGCCACTTTGGTGTTCCTTTTGTGGCTTCTTTTTCCTTGTTGGGTTCTTTTGATTTTTCTTCTTTCTTGGGCTTGTGATGTAGAACGTGTAGATCATGATATCGAGTGTCTTCGGATGGTTCGTAATATCCTCTATACCTTTCCCTCTCCTTTTTCCTCCTCTCACTGTCTCCGCGATACCGATGATGTGCATGCTCCCTCTGCTTTTCTTTCTTCTTCAAATGTACCCTCTCCGCCTCCCTCCTTTCTATTTTCGCATCTTTTCTATTCACCCTCTGAATCACTTTCTTCCATTCTCCATTCATGAGATTTTCATCCACTCCCAGTCCTGATAAATCTCGGATACTCTGTTTGTACCAATCATCAATGGGTTTACTAATCTTCCACTCCCCATATTTGTCTCCATGGCGATGTCTATTTCGATAATGTTCCTCCACCATCGTCATCAGCCGCTGCAAAAATAAAACAAACTTAAATTGATCTTTTTGTGTCTCAAGAGGCAGATGATAATTCCAGAGACGGAGAGTCTCATCACGGGGGCGATGGCGATGGTGTTGTCGATGTACAGGGTCTAGACTATCTTGCCGGAGATACACGTGTCCAAAATATGGCCATTTGTCGCTGTTTGATAGCAGTTAGTGATATCTTATGGGACGAAAGAGAGGAAGAATAGATGTGGAATTTTTACCTGGTGGGATCGGGTAGGACAACCATAAATACGGATTAATGGCGAGTGTCGAGGGGCACACAAAACTCGGCTCAATGGGAGGTTAAGCGGAAGAGAGAAATCAATTGTGTAATACAATTTCTCCACAAATCAAATTGAATAGAAATCGGAACAAAAAGTTCGATATGAATGTGTGTAGTGTTCAGTACTACTCTATGATATGTATTCCGCTTCGCTCGTTCCATTCAAACAGAACTGCGGAAAAGATTAAGAGTCACTTATGAAAACACGGTGGTGGCAAGGCACACTTACTCACTCATCATATGAATGAGAGGACTGCATGGCCAAACTTTTTTTTAAAAAAAAGGTCAATAAAGGCCACTCACGAAGAAACTTTATCTTTGGGAAAATAAATGGGGGTACAGCTACAGGAATCAAAAATGTTAGCGAGGCCAAATAGGGGGCCAAGGGGTGGCAAGCCTGGAGGTCATGTGAACTCGTTTTGTGAAGTATAATCATGGATTATAGCTTTTATTTATCTACTGTATATCATTACGAAAGTTGGAATATGATGGAGGGCAAGATATCATTGGATTTATTGATCTGATTTTTTATATTCAAGTGACTAGTACCGGCTCGATGAGTACTATTGTGAGGAAACCAATCAATAGTATTAGAGTCACGTGATAGTCTAGAGAGGGTACTTATACCCCCTCTTCCAGTAGTTTAGATCAATCGTCATGTTTTACCCCTTCAAAGTTATACCTACCCTCAGTGTTTAGACGAATAGTTACTTTATCCCCTTTTGACCATGACTATCTTTCAGTGACGCTACGATTAGATGATTGTTGTACGATATGTGGTTATGCCGAAGGCTTTCCTATGATTTCACACCTACCTTCACTCTTTTGCAGTACAGGTATTAGATAAAATATATAATATTCGATAAGGAGAGAAGGAGGTGCACGGAGCGACAACAATTATATGATGGATGGATGCCTTAGGCATCCATCTGAGCTAACTAGGAACGGGTAGTGAACCTGTGACACAATCTGTGTTTTGCTCTCTATCCTTTCTTTATTCTGTCTCACCTCCTTACTTGCTTCCTTCATTTTGAAGTATTTGGCAGTTATATATTTTTTTTTATAACAGAAATAACAAACGCCTTCTAATACTTGATTCGTTTTTTGATCTTTACTTTTGTTTATTCGAATATTATCCTATAAATGATTATTTTCACAATCTTTTTCTTGATTATTACTATAGCCTCGATCTTTAGATAGGTCTTTGTTATATCGTTTTCATTCTTTATCTTTTATTACTAATTGTATTAATGAAGAATATAAAAGATTCAATTAACTTTTCGATTATACTAAGATTTGAAATAATATTAATAAATGATAATCTTGTGTTTAGAATAAAAGATTTGTTGGATTGCCACTTTTTGTTTTTGGGAAGTAATTGTAAAAGATGATAGAAGATATCTATATTTGTGATTACAGATTCGGTATCTAATATAAGTAGTTGGTAGCTTTGTAGAGTATTAACGAATCTTTATATTGACTGTATTTTTGGATTAAACAATTCTTGATTAAACTTTGCCTTTGTTTTAGCAAGATATTAAGGATGCTTAGATTTATTATATGATTTGAAAACTTTTTATATCTTTTGTATATCAAATTTAGTAATTAATTTGAGAATTGATAAATAGTGGATTATTTCTATAGTTGTTAAAAATAGAGATATTATTGGTTAATCATTTTATGAAAT